TATCTGCATATCTCTCTTTCGCTGGCTTTATTTGCCGAGCTTATATACTAAAAAAGAAGGCGCCTGGCAAACACTCGGACATTCGCGGGGTTCCTCGATAATTCGTGATCCTTCTAGAAACTCCAGCGCGCATGTAAGAGATAACCAATACTCACTTTAGTAGCAACTTGTTTGTTTGTAGTTAAGCACACAGCTATAGAATGGGCTATCTGTGCTCTGCCTACCACGGGTATCGAAACCTGATTTCTAGCGATGTAAGTCCGCAGACATGCCGCTGTGCCACTAGGGGGCGTAGCAACTTGTAAGCAACTGAATATTACTTTTTTTTAAATAGAAAATTACACATTGAAAATAATATTGTGGAAAAGGTTTGTGGTTATTTTTGACATGATGAATTGTTTATTTCAGGGGAAAAAGTTTCACTGGCAAGGATTATACAATATTTGAAAGTACTTTGTACATCGTTTAGTTCTATATGCATTTAGAAGATAGTCTGGTAGGTCAGAGGTAAGTTCCGGACTCACAGTGCTGAAATCCGAGGTTTAGTTCCTGTCGATGGATAGAGTGCAGACAGACCATTGTGTAGTTTGAGATAAAAACTATACAAGAACAACAAAAACAAATACTGTATTTTTTGTAATTATATTTGAACACAAATGTTAAAAATAGTAAAATATATACTTCACGAACCCCAAATACAGTGCTGAAACATGCTCTGTGCACCAAAGTTTGTGTTAGAGCTTGGTTCCCCATTCCTGCACTTTTCGTTTTCTATTTGTACTTATTTCACGTTTTCCTTAGAACTTTTAGAATTGGATTTCGGATACAACACAGACAGACCATTGTGTAGCTTTGCGCTTAACAACAAACAGACAAATAATTTACTTTTGTTGGCACTAAAAATGAAATATGGGATTATGCAGTATAGCAGAGTGAACTAAAACTATACAAACACTCACCAAGAAGTCCCCAAAGGTCTAACTTGCGAAAATGAAAATTTTATGAAAGACATAGTGTTATTTATGTTGTGACCCGTTAATAATAATTTAAATTCAACTGTAATGCGCCAAAAGTACAAAGGAGGAGTTTTAAACTAAAATAATTCTGAAATTATACATTAAAGTAATCAAAACTCAACTATATTTATTGTCCTCACTTCAAAACATTTTACTTTCTTTCGTCTGAAAAGAAAATTACGGTGATAACAACACTGGTAGAATTTCGTCAATAAACCCACACGCGCGAAGTTGCCAACCAATACAAAGCAAAGAATTATACTTACCTATCTCTGTCAGTAATATACGTCTCTGATTGAACTTGTTTATGTCCTGAAGTGAAGATAATAATTACATGTTTAAAAAAAAATCGTTTACGTTTAAATATTTCCTTTTTCAAATTTAGTTGTGTCGATTGCATGATTTAAAAAAATTATTTTCCAAATTTTTGTTGAACTTCTGCTCAACTCCATTACCTCGGAGATAGAAAATACACTGTATATAAGGATTAAACGACCAGTTATGATAATATTTACCAAATCGATTACTGTAAAAAAATGTAGGCGTCCAATTAGAATTTTACATCTATATATTCCTTATTAGCCACCGTAGTAGGATTGTTAACCTTTGCGCATTCACCAGTGCGCATACAATTAACATTAACTTCTGATCAAAGCAAGCAACCTACATGTTCATCATGGCAGCAGCGGCAAGGACGGTCGTTGGTTGTTGTTGGATAAATACGTGCGTTTCCGGTGGATTATATTCGATATCAGAGTGTCTTTGTAGAGTAGAAATTTGATCTAAAGTTAGTGATGGCTACAGCAGCCATCGGAGAGAGTGAAGAAAAGTTAGCGTGGCAAGAATTTTGTGAAAAACATGCCAGACTGGTCGCGGCCGAGCTCGCCGCGAGCTACCGCTTGTTTCTCAATGAGCGTCCAAGCGTCGGAAAGAGAGTGGCAGCACAGGAGTTATCCCGGAAATTTGCGGACTTATTTCAAGAGTTCTTCGATGCTGAATTGAAAAGAAGAGAGGGAAACTCTGGTATTGTGGAAACTAGACGATTATCTAGCGTTTCTAACGGTCACGGAACCCAGGAAACTCCAACAAGCGGGCCTGAGAGTGTTAAGTTCCGGCCACCTAGACATAACGCGTCGCAAGAGAGCCTACGTGGTTTTGCTAGCCTTGCTAATCACGAAGATTATAGCGATCTTTCGGATCAAGAAATTGAATCACCAAAGGCACATCATAGACCGTTTTTTCGACGATTATCGTTTAAAGGATTAAAGAAAGGAAAAGGTTTGTTTCACAAACAACATTCAGATGAAGTGGAATTGTCTCACTCCCACCACGATCGAAGAACTAAAGTTGAGAAACCAAAGCTAACCAAAATCATTGTGGAATCTGTGAAGGAAGGAATTGTCAATTACCTCACCGGAGACAACCTGGATGGGAAACTGAAGTGGGAGAAATGTAGATTAGCGCTTGTCAAGACCACCGCAGGATACATGCTTGAGTTTTATTCTCCCCCCAAAAGTAAGTATATAGTATCACAAACATATTTTTGAAAGTTGTATTCATTGTTAAGATATCTAATATTAAACCAGAACTTGTGTCTATATATATATAACACTTGTAAGTTTTAATCTTGTTGTTCAGTCACTTAGTCTGGACGAAAGCAACATTAATTTAGAAATAAATATTCATCACTTGGTACTGAGTTATACCAGTTTCCACCCCTCATCAGTAACCATGGGCAAATCGAAAAAAAAAGTAAGCTTCTTCTGGCGGTGGACTGTACGTTATATGTACGGTGTTTTTAGTTGTATTTACTCAACACAATACTCATGTTATTAAACAGTTTGTCTGCTAAATAATTCAGAAGAATGAATTAGTAGCATCAGTGCTACATATTTTTCAGGTCCTATATAAATATAGGTTAACTGTGGTGAGTAAAATAAAGCCTGATATACCACACATTAGTTTATATGGACACCATTTAATCTTTCAGTTAAGAGCTAAAAGCTGTGTGTGTGTGTTGGAATTGAGTTTAATATACGAGGTTTATTACGTGACTCATGGTTAATGATTTCCGTTTAAAGTTACTCATCCGAGCCAGAAAGATTATCAATGGGTAGTAGTAGTGTTTGCATCTATCAACAGGGGAGAACAAAGCTGTTGTATGTGAAGAAAACAAAAGTATCTAATACTTTTAAAATGATCTTTAGTGACACACAGGAAAGTCTGCGAACTCGCATCGTTAAAAACCAGGTTTCGATATTCGCACAGCACAGATAGCCTATTGTGTAGTTTTGTGCTTAACAACAAACAAACACTACTCTTAAAAATTAGTGTCTTGACTAAATAATTCAGTTTCATTTGACAATAACGCTTAATGGTTTATGTTAGATTATCTGTTTTCCAGTAATTTTAGAACAGTTTTAACGGAAACTCGGTTTAACTGTAATTTTCAAACTTCAGAAGAACGGTGTAATTCTAGGAGAAAAATTCGCGAATTTAATTATTATTAGTAGTAGTATTAGTATTAATTCATTTTTCCGAATATTTTTTTAAAACCCTGTTACCTAGTGAACGAAGTCGAAAAATGAGACATGGGTCGTGCTTAACCGAAAACAGTGATGTTATATTTATTTTTTCTGGAATTGAAGAATGTCTTATAAACCAAAGCCTGCTTCTTTGATTCAATAACCCAGAAAACAACCGTGATAAATGTTACATTTTTCCACGTAAGATTTGCTTTCTGATCATGATTTTCTTTAAATTTCTCATTTAGTTATATGACTCTTGTTTGTTGTAATCTTCATTACTTCGTCCACCAGTTTGTGTTTACAGTATGGGCTGGAGATAACTGATTCTTACTCTCTAGCCATTAAATTCTAAGTGTAAAGTTTATGTATAAGAATGATCGATATATTTTACCCACTGTTATTTGCTCTCACTTTACAATAGTTAAAGTGTAACTTTTGAAACTTGTATCTGTTTCCAGACCAAATTTTTAAGCAATTGTCAGCATCCTGACCGAAAAAAAAAGACATTCATATACAAATGTAGACTATCTAATTATCACAGGTTGTTAGGTCAGTAATTCAGACTGTTTATCCGACCAAACTTGATGTTCAAAAAATACACAACTTTCTGTAATTTCTGCTTGTTATTTATTAGCAGATTTAGAATTTGTTTTTACCACTAAAGTTTGTGAGACGGATATCGTGATCATTTTAACAGTCAGACGGGAATAAAGGAATTTTAAACATGTGACGTTATAAAAAAATTACCGATTTACGTGACTTCATTGTGTGCCTATACAGTGTATGTAATGGAAATACCCTTCACACTACTTAGGGTGAATTAAATCAATTGCTCTTCGTTATTGGCAATTCGAAACCATACTAGATAGGACGCATAAAACATAACTTTGTACAATATTTATATACTATTTTACGTTTCCCTTTTTGACGCTCTCACCGGTTGTTCAGCGTAAAATCAGGTTTCAATTCCCGCTGTAAATAAAGCACAGATAGCTTATTGTATAGCTTTGCGCTTAAGAACAAAAGCAACCTTTTGTTCAATTTGGGACATGATGGTGAGTGAAACAAAATACGCGGCCTAGATAACTAATCAATGAATATTTGCTGTAAAATTCATATCAATGCTATAACTGTAGCTACCAGTTTGGCCCCCAATTTTGATTTCGTTCCTTTGAGTCGCACGCTGAATCCATTTTTGGCGGCACCTTTTTTATATTAGATATTATGACTTCTTGTCAATACACACCAAATAAGAAAGTGACATTTGATAGTAACCAATATTAACTTTAGGATCGCAACCCTATTATTCGGAACAGGCCTTTACTTTACAGAACCAACTAGATTCTTTTAAAATATATGGTGGTATTTTTCTAAAACAGTGTTAATAACTTCCGTTATTGTAACGACATGGAATTTAAATTAACAGCTTCTTGTCATAACCCTCATGCAATCGGTACAGCCGTATCAAGCATCATTATTTATGCTAATTGCTTAAGCTAATATCACGTGACGCTAAACGCTCTTTAATGAGGATAATTTCATAAAAGTTGGTAAATTTGTGCTGGCAATGAATAATCAATGACAACCGACCACTCCTATGATTCTTTTGAATACTTAGCTAGAAACTGGTTATCTAGTTTGCTTGGCCTAATCAATACTTATGTATCTGCACGTCCTTTAACCGTCTAGTTTTGCTGCTCTAAATCAGCCGTCTTTATTCCGAGTAAAAAAAAAAAACAGCTAAAAAGTGTCCACTTTCACTCTTAGGTGAAGCTGTGATAAAAATGTTAGACCGATAGCTTATGTGACTTTTTTGCGTAGGCGTGCGCATAAGTTTTCGTTAAATTTGAGCGGTTTTTGTTGAGCAATTTTACATATGTGGCTTATATTTACACCAAATGAGACTCCTAATTGTAGGTTGTAAAGATCTACCAGTGTACCAGATTTGAAAAAATTAAGTAGGTTTTTTTATCAAGTAAAGTTTGCGTATTTTTGTTTCGAAGAAGAAAAAAAAAGGAAACTCAATCAAAATTGGAGATGCTATATCTCCGGTATTTCGTAATGGATTACCTTGAAATTTGGTATGCGAAGTAAGAGTCCAGTAGAGCAGATCTACTAAAAATATGTGATAGTTTGGATTACCACAGTCTGAGCTACAGAAGGTGGAAAATTGATAAACTATCACTCCTGATAATAACACACAGTGTGTCCTGCAGTTTTTTTTTTTTTGTCTTGCCACAAGACACACTACTGTGTGTCTTGATCATTGATTGATTGAGTTATCTTAACCTCTAGACTTTCCCCTGCTGATTGGATGCCATCATAAACTTGTCTTCCAGCCATTACAGACTTCCTGCTGATTCTTAACCAGGACATCTGATGTAATAGGGAATCCGCTTATATTTATGCATTTATGTGATAACAGAAGAACAATTTTGATAGCTTCAAATACTTCACTATACTCTCCCCGATTTCTAATATGGATGCATGTAAACCACCAGTCTATGATTACGAAAATCAAAATCTGTGAACTGTCATATTAGGCATGATATAGACAAGTCAGAATATTGTAACTTGGCACGATCTGCACAGTTTGCTTTGATGTTACCATTTTCACCCTCCTATCTTTTCCAAGTGATGTCTTGCATGAAAAAGGCCATCTTTAATCTCCACGTTTTCCAGATGAATGGCCAGTCTGATCATGAGGTTCTGTCTTCCTGTTTCCTTCACGTTTGATCTTCTCTGTTTCATTAAGTATGTAATGTATATGTGTTTTCAAAATCGCGCAAAGCTAAACGAGGGCTATCTGCGCTAGCCGTCCCTAATTTAGCAGTGTAAGACTAGATGGAAGGCAGCTAGTTATGACCACCCACTGCCAAATATTGGGCTACTCTTTTACCAACGAATAGTGGGATTGGCCGTTACATTATAACGCCCTCACGGCTGAAAGGGCGAGTATGTTTGGTGAGACGGGGATTCGAACCCGCGACTCTCAGATTGCGAGTCAAGCGCCCTAACCACCTGGCCATGCCTGGTCAGTATGTAACGCCTGGCTAATGTGTTGCTGCTCAGTGTATTTCAAGTTGCATAATTAATTCTTGATTGCACCTTAAACGGAACTTCTAAAAATGTTACTTTTACTTTTTGTTTTCATGTTCATTCGTAGAATCATTTCTTACCCGCTACTGTTCTGTGGATTCGCTTGAAGAAATAACTCCATATATGTTGTCCAAACATTGCTGTAGTAAACATGTATATATAGATATCTATCTTTCTCCAGGTTCACTTCAAGAAAAAGCAGCTTTACTCTTGTTTTTCCAAATTCACAGTTTTTACACTTCTCCACATTCACAAGTGGAACAAACGATATTTTTACTTCTCTTTCATATTCTCGAGTAGGACAAACGACAACTTTACCCAGCTGCTCCACAGTCACGCGTAGAACAGACAATGCTACTCTTCTTCTCCACGTTCATCTTTGGAAGGAATATCTTGGGTGATCTTTTTTTTTCTCGGTTTACAATTTTTAGTTTTCAGTTGTTTTTTTTCTATCAAAATAATATTACAAACATTGTTTCTCTAAGATGCGAGAACAGATAATGATCGTGGGCTATGAGATCCTTCATGTTAGTTGTCGAAGTTCTGTTTGAACTTGGTTAACTGGATGACTTCTTCACCAATCGTATAATATGCTGAATCTTTATGTGTTTAGATATTTTAAAACCCACTAATTCTAGAGAGAGTGAGAGAACATTGTAAACGGCATAAATTAAGAAAAGGTTTCAAACTAATAACATAATTTAATAGGTATTTATAAGATAAGAACTAAACAGTTCAGAGAGGTTGTTAATAACGATAATTTTGATTCAACATAATTTTAAGAATTTGATTATTGTGTCTTTAACGCCCAGTCTGCAAGTTAGAGAGACTTGTTTGGTGGGCTGATTCCCAAATAAAGCTTTCTGGTACACTCTCTCTCTTTAAATCAGAGTGGAGAT